CCTTGCTGAGAGACAACATGAATACCCTTTATCTGAAAAGCCAAACAATGTGTTTTCAGGACAAGAAATATGCAACAGATAAGTACAAGGACATCTACACAGAGCTGAGCATTGTCAAGGCTAAAGCAGAGCGGGATCTGGGCCGGCTCAGAGATCAGCTGCAGCTGGCTCATGAGGCACTTGGGGAGCCATCGCTGGAGGAAGTGGAGCGAGGAGGATATGGTATGAACAAATAGAAACACAGTGGGCCTTGTGCTAGGACTGTTTTCTATGATGCTTCCTTGTACAAGTGGGTCAAGTCACATTTATCAAACTCTCTCAACCGCACATGTGAGCTGCAGGTTTGGGAGATTTGATTAGCATTACAGTCATTTTTATCCAAAGCGACTTACAATTCAGAGTCTATCACATTTCTACACCGTAGGCACAGCTACGGGAGCAATTTTGGGGTTAAGTGTCTTGCTCAAGGACACATCGACATGCGACTAGCGGAGCCGGGGTTCGAACCGCCGACCCTGTGATTGAAAGACGGCCCTGCTATCCACTTAGCCACAACCGCCCCCATTAGCACAATTGTTATGATGTTCATTCTGTACACATGACATCTATCACAATTTGTCCATCCTGATAGAGGGATCCCTCCTCTGTTGCTCTCTCTGAGGTTTCTTCCTTTTTTTTCTCCATGTTAAAGGTTTTTTTGGAGAGTTCCTGTTCTGATGTGAGGGTCCTGGGACAGAGGATGTGTACAGATTGTAAAGCCCTCTGAGGCAAATTTGTGATTTTGGGCTATACAAAATAGATTAAATTGAATTGATGCCCCCCAAATTGCCCCAAAAGGCTACCTGTTACAATCGAATTGGGGCAACTGTAGCTCAGAGTTAGAGCAGGGTCGTCCTTCAATCAGAAGATCAGCAGTTCGATCCGGCTCTGCTAGTCCATGTCGATGTGTCCATGGGCAAGACACTTAACCCCAAATAGCTGTGCCTGCATTGTATCAAAGGGTGGCTACCATGCAAGGTGCTAGTCCTTATGTCCAGGTAGCAACTTGCATGGTAGCCCCTCCATCAGTGCATGAATGGGTGAATGATGACATGTAGTGTTAAAGAAGTGAAAGTCAGAAGACTAGAAAAGCGCTATACAAGTACAGTACAAGTTTATTTGATTTATTCACCAAAAATATAGCCCAAGAGTAAAATTGAAGAATGTCACAGAGCTTCGAGTCCAAATTCAACAGTGTGGGTCGTGGTATTAGGGGACCCTAAACAAATAGAAAATATCAGAGCTGCCGCATACTGTGACAGAAATTTAGAGGGAATGGTTGGACCTTAGGTTAGATGTTAAAAAGATGTCTTAAAAAGCAAAGTGGTTCATGACTTAGATGGGATGCTGTTGAGGAAATATGTTTTCACCAGCAGTAACTGAACAGGGCTCAAGACAGCAGGTCTCAGCTGGGCTCCAGCCTGGTTTTCCTCCTCACCTCCCTTTGCTCCGAAGTTGTAACAATTCACCTAATTATATTGACCTAAAAGGGGAAAAGTACATGCGCTACAATTAAAAGGCACGGGCGGATCTGAATTGGTAGGTATACAGACACTACATCTGACTGCAAAACATATTTGAAAGTACAAAAACACGCTGAAAGGTCTTCTCTATTATTCACTATAATGACAGACCACCTTAGACACAAAAGCACAGTCAATTAAATATAACACCATATATTAATATAAAGCAAATTCATTTGGCATACGGGTTGCACCACACAAAACAAAAAACGTGAGGCTCCCGCTGTACAATAAACTAAACATTTGCAAACTATCGCTCAAACCCTGAGTCCCATCAGTTCCAAAGTTCCTTAAAGTAACGCAAAACAGTCCGATGACAAACAAACAAATGCCCAAAACAAAGTCAACAGGTGGAAGCGTGGCGAGACGCTTCACCACAGCCTGTCTAGCTGGTGGTCCTCTGTGCCGTTTCCATTTAAGCCTCCAGTTTAGTAATCCATGAAACGCTTGCTTCAGATTCTTTTTGCCGAGCAATCGCCGGCAAACGGCAAACTGTGCTCTCTGAGTCCACTAAACGTCGCTGGCTTCCCCCTTTCTGCGCGCACAATCTCCTCTCGCATCACTCCCCCCCCCGTCACAATTTATACAATAATAATAACAATAACGTACCCTATTCCTATCCTGTGTAATTATTACAGGCAACTAATAACATTCATAAGTACAGCACTTTAAATGGGTGAAGGAAAATAATAACCCATAGGTTCCCCATTCACAATTTGGTGGGGGGAAGTTGATGGAGACCTACGTTTGATAAATTGTTTGGATCGTACCCCATGCTGTCCACACCTCACTGAGATCCCAACTCAATGCGAGCCACGCCACCTCGGCATGTGGTCTACCTGATCAGATCCCGATGAGAGCACAGTGCGATGTGGGAGCGTACAGACTCAATAGTTAAAATGCGTCCTGGCTTGATGGATCATCATTTGACAAGCTCTCTAAAATCACTCAAATCTACCAATTAAGAATAAATGTGGTGGTTCTTACATGAGGCCCATTGTGTGTTGATTAAATTAGCATTCAGTACACCTGAGGACTAGACCCTTTCTCTCTAGTTTCCCTTTCTCTAAACTCTGACACATTTTCCTTCCTAGATATCATGAAGTCCAAAAGCAACCCTGACATCCTCAAGATGGCAGCTGCTGCAGCCAAACGCTCAGAGCGCACCATGAGGTCAAAGGTGGGTTTCCTTTAGTCCATGAAGAGTTAAGTCAATCCTTCATCCCACCGTGGGTCATGGAGCTCTATCACCCATTGTGTCTTATTGCTTAAGAAGCAGCAGCTTCTAACAGAACTAACAGAGCAGTCCTCTTTTGACATTGGAAGTCTCCCACCAAACACGGGCTGAGCAGTTTCACATGACGTACTGCCATCTACTGGTTGCGTGCAGCATTGCATGCCCACCATTGCATCAGTATCGGCAGTGTTCTTGCTGGGGTGCCTGTCTTTGATCTATTCTGTGACTCCATCAAAACTGCGTCTTGGGATTGTGATACAGATTAAACACCACAGTAGTCTAACACACACTTGCTGGTGTGTTTTCCCCCTTCTGTCCTCAGTCTGTGAGTCGAGACATGCCCTGGGACAGTTAGGGCTGCTGAGGACGTGTAGGCCTCCTTCTCCTTTAGGTAAACCAAAGCAGACGCACAAACCGGTAGTTTAAGCATATCCTTTTGTCCTCCACCTCTGAAGCACTAAATAGATCTGAAACACTACTTCACATTAATAAGCACAAATAGTCTACTTCACGGAGAGGTCATGGTCAAGACTGAATGACGATACTGTATCCGAGATATCACTGGGTATTTAAAAAATACTAATCTGTGTATCCTTTCACATTCTTGGTGATATATTTTATGAATGAGTTGCTTTCTTTGAAGCTCCAAACCAACATAAAAGTAGCAAAACAAACCCACTGGTAGTTAAAACATAGAGCACCAGCTACAGCCAACTACAGGTCATTATACTCTGTACCGCTGGAACAATAGATAAAGCTTTTTAGTCAGCAAGCTAACACTAACAAAGCGATCGGACTAATGCTACTTAGTTTTAGTTGAGTTTGACAATATGAGAAAGGAAACATTAAATCTGCAAAATTTCAATGATGACACGATGTAGTCAAAGACGTGCACAGACAGTCGTGTGTTACTTGTTATACAAGGGGCACCTATAGCAGTGCCTTCACTGTGACTCTGACACAGTCTGTTACCATACATGTATTCACTTCAATTAAGTATTTCAACGATTAGATGATGATGATGCTATGAAGATAGAAGCATAGTGTCTGTGAACTCTTATTTATTGTAAGCTAACTAGCTATGTTGGTATACGCTTGGCGGCTAAAATGATTAGCTACTGTTACAAGAGTTTCCAGGGCTCTATTGACAGACAGGTTATCAATCAGCTATAATGTGTGTTTGGACTCATGATTCCATTTTAGAGATTTAATCACTGGTTGAAAACAGATTAACACTGACAATGAAAATACTGCCTGCTCAGGAACAGCACATCTGTCCAGAAGAAGCTGTATTTCATTATTAACATCTCCTTTTTCTCTCCTCATCCCTGCAGAGTCTAAAGGAAGGGCTGACAGCTGAGCAGAGACTCCACCTGTTTGAAAATAAAGATACTAAGGAGTTCTGACAGTGACTCATCATGTCTACCGACCTTGCTGCATGTTTAGAGGCCCACTATATTTTATCTCTTTAATTACTTATTTAGTTACACTACACACTGGTCACAAAACACAGATCATATATTATTAAAGAAACATGGTTTGAAGTTTAATATTTGATGCCTAGATTTTGCATTCCATGCACTTCAGTTAACTGTGACATTTTTTGTATCGTTTGTTTTTTTGCTGCCATGTCTTACTGTAAATAATGTTTTTAATTGAGCATCTGTTCTGTCTACACTAAAACTATGACTGTGTAAGCTACTGTTTTAACTCTCTAGACTGTTGCTAGCCAAAGGCATAACTGTGACAGCTAAACACAACTACTTATTGGTGAGTAATACTTGCATAACAAAACCATAGGAATGAGTGTGGTGTTCAGGTCTGCATGTTAATGCTCCACTACTCCATTATCATTCCAGCACAGATGGAAGTGTTGCTCAGTAAACAAGCTATGGAACTAAAATGCTGGTCTGCATTATAAAACAAATACCTACCATGTTGCTTCATCGCCTGACTTCTAAATTAACTGTGTGCGTGCGTGGCGGCAGTCCATTTGTATTTATTTAAATGGTTGGGATTTTTCTTTCACATTCCCATTCCTTTGTACTCTATTATTGTAAATATAAGGCAAATATACACCAACTGACTACAGGTTTATTAGCAATAAATATTTTTGCACCCTTTTTGTTGTGTGATTGTTTTGAAAAATATAATTCCTTCCTAAACAAATGCAAGTAAAAAAAAACATGACAATTCAGTTTTTAATTCTATTGCTTTACAGATATTATAAAAGTGGTGTGTAGGACAGCACTCATATTTAGTGAGTTATTAATGCACTACCACAGGTTTGAGGTGCAACAATGTAGCCACCAGGCAATATTTAATATAAATGTTGAAGAATGAACACACAAGATGAAAATGAAACCTTTGCTAGAGAGAATTGAAATGAAAGAAGTCACATACCCCACTACTTGCTTTTTCCAGAGCTTTCAACCATATGTGGTCTTCTGACAGATACTGAGCTTGCATGTCAACAGAACCATCTGAATGACCATTGAGATAGTCGGCTTGTAAAAAAACTTGCGATATCTTCCATTGCTCATAAAAGTGCTTTTAAAAGTTTGAAAAGTAACCCTGATAATTTCTAGTGTTCTGGCCACTCGAAGCAAAAGTTCACCCACTAACACACTGATGACAGGCTTCCATATAAGGTGCCAACCTGCTCATCAGGGGAGAAACTTAACGCACATTCTCACAGACCGATGGCACAGCCTTTAGGAGCAATGTGGGGTTGAGTGACTCTTGCTCAAGAGCAGTCCAACATTTGCCGGGGATTGAATCCCTGATCATCTCTTTCTCCTGCGCCACAGCCATTGGGTCGAGTTATTTTGCTTAAAGTTTGGATACTGACAGAAAGATATGAACTGGGAACTAGGATTTTGAAAGATGTTGGTATTTACCTAGCAGGGAATTGGTAACGAAAAAAGCGTCAAGTTGCATTATGGGAGGTAGGATCCACTATTTTTGGAGCTTGGCCCATAGGGACAAAACGTTAGGATATCTCAGGCTTGGCTGCTTTTATCATCCTTTTTTTCCTAACATGTATCTTGCAAGTACCCTAATTTAATTGAAATATTAAATTGCTGGAATACCCCTTTAAACTAATTTGGGACCTTTATGATTAAAAAAATCCAAAATTCCTCTAATGTTCATCTTTATTTTATATTTTATTATTCACCACTTACCAGTGTATGAAATAACGTTAGCTAAAATGTAAATTAAAGTAAATTTGTTTGGAACAGCAACAACCAACTAGTCAAAATGTAGGATTTTAGAGGTTAGTTAAATAAAATATATTAGAAAGTGACCCCAAAATATTTAGATAACAGTCTGGGTCAAGGGGAAAGGATTGAAGTGAACAATAGGCTGATCCCCTGCAACATTTAGAGGAATAATGCGTTCGCGATATATGGTTTAATTGTACTTGTTATGATTATTACTTCAATTTAAAAGAAAAACAGTGAAACGCATCAATAATCATTTTATTATGAAGGGGAATCCGGAAGTTTAAGATTATACACAATCAACTTGACACTGCTGCTATCAGAGAAGTGTGTTCCTGGAAAGTGTGGATCTTTGTTTAATTGGGAGCTGCCGGTGTCTTCAGAGTTAGAAGGATTAGTTAGAGTACATGTGTTGTTGAGAGAGATGCAGGGTCAGACCCATTCTTAGCTGGACGTTTTAAAACGATATCTCCCATCCGGGTAAGTTTTGCTAAGCAGCACAGCGCAGCGCATAACCTTCACTCTGTCTTTGTTTCACCAAGCCGGGCCTTGCCCCGATGCGCACCGTTCTCGGAAATACAGAGAACGTGTTGCCAAACTCCACGAAAAGTGTTCCACAATTAAATAATACCTTGCATTTCGTTCAATTCTGGGATATATTAGAAAGCAAAACATTATTCCTTGAACCGCTGAGATTCACTCTTCAATTCGGTGTGCATCTACGCCAAAGAACGCCCTTTAAAGCAACATTAATCATTTTAAAATTGGTTTGGCCGTCGTACTCGCAACAAAGTTAGGAAGAGTCGTAACGTTAGTGGGCGAACAATGTGCACCACTAAGCTATACAAGTTGGTATGTTATAGTAATAATGAGCTTCTTCGGTGAGTAGACCTAGCCGAAATGAAGAGTGACCGCTATCTATCGGTACAGGATTTAAAGGAAGTTCTGTGGCGCGTGACTTTCTGTCTTTAACGATGATCACTTTAAGTTGCCAGGTACTGTATGTAGTTCGACGTACAGCAACGTTACCGGACTGAAGACGGGCCTAGTTAGCTAGTGTTAGCTAGTGTTAGCTGTGGATAGGCTAAGCTAACTCTTAGCAACCCTGACCTGTCAACGTTGGTGGTAAGAAGTCATCCGGTCACCTGTTGTCTGGAAAGCATTAACGTCATTTATTTAACCCAGCAACCTGATATTATGAATATTAAAAAATATGAATGTAAACTGTAAATGAGCCAAATTGTCAATCAATGCTATGTTCTCTAACGAAATCCATGCACACGCCAGTTTCCTAGCTGATGTCAGCGTTAGAACTTTAGCTGTAAAGGAGAAAAACGGGTTGAATAACAAATTGACAACTCGAAGTGATGTAGCTTAGTGGTCAAAATAACTTCTCTATTGACCACCATAAAAAAAGAGTAATCTTAATTAAATGCAACATGTGCATCTTCCTAGACATAACTCATTCAAATTACTGGCACCACATTATTTTCTCCTCTCCATCCACTGCAGTTGTGATGGAGCAGCCACCTGGGAGCTTAGATGATCTACAGCCTCAAGACCTCTCCACATCCAGCATCCCCGCTGTGATTGACCTGACCAGGAAAGGCGAGGAATGTGTCCTCAACAGTCCGTCCCTCGCTGCTCTGCGTATGGTCAAGAACCCCAGCTGGTACCCAAACTCGGGGGTCAGCAACCCCGGATTACCCTTCTCGGACACCGGCTCCTCAGAGACCACTCTCCAAGCAGGGGAACCAATTCAACCAGACAATGCCTTCTCCCACACTACAGTGACCCTCTCCTACGTGAGCAGATCTCACGTCTTCTCCTCTAACAATTCCCTTTCTCGGCATTCGCCCCTGTATGGTGTGCCGCCTATTAGCAAGTTGTCCCTCCACTCTCCTTGTGACTTGGATAAAGGGCTTGAGGAGACTGGCTTTGCACTGAACCAGCACTACTTGGAGCAAGTTGATGGGACCATGGACCTTGCCAATCAGACACTCCTTTTTCAGTCATTGACTCAGGCTCAGGTGGCACCAGAGAACGATGGGGGAGTATGTCTAATGCAGGAGCATCAGGAGTTCAACAGTGGAGTCATTTCCAGCGGCAGAGACATGGACAATCATGGAAAAGGCAAAGAGGATTACGGCCTTCGTCTGGAAAAGAGTGGGGGTTTGGAAAATGGACAGGGTGATAGCTACTCCAGTTCAGGAGTATGTGCTGAATCCTCACCGGAGACGCTCACCTCTGTCGCAGGGGAGGATGAGGAGAGGGGCATCTCTGAGGCACTCTTTCTCATGTCTAAGAAACAGGACCCAGCAGTCGTTGCGGGTGTCGTGGGTGCTAGAGACCTGTGCTCACGAAGCAAGGAGTACATCAGTCCTCTGGAGGACCCCGTCTCCCCCTCCGTTACCTCACTGGACAATGTGGAGGATGTGTTCGTCCTGCCTCAGGCCTCTAGCTCACCCAGCGGTGATAACTCTTATCTAGAGACATTTGATAAGGTTGCGTGGGATGATTTGAGGACAGAGGGGGCCATTCAGCCGGGCTGTGGCATCAGTGATAGCAACACAAGGTCAGCTTCAAGCACTGAAAATAAGCAGCCTGTCGGTAGACGAAAAGCAGTGTTGGAGCCTTTGATTGACTTGACAGATGATGTTTGTGTGTCAGAAGTTTCCGAAAACAAACCCGAGACTGTCACTCCTCACATGAACGGGAATGCTAAGGCACTAAAGAGAACTTTAAAAGAAAGGAAACTGCCCATGCGGTCCGGCAGAGGTACACGGTTAGACGCTATAGTTATGAACATAAATTCCAGCCGGTATAAAGCGTCAGGATGCATACGTACCAATAACAAAGCAAAAACTTCCCAGTCGCCAGCTGGTGATTCTAAGTTATCCGGTCCGAAGAGGAATGACACCCAGTCAGCAGGAAAAAGGAGAAACCGAGTGAAAGCGCCTTTCTCAGTGAAAACGAGGAAACAAAAAGCAGTAACTTCAATGAAAAAGGGTAAAACTAATAACATGAGCACTGCCAGTTACAAAGACTCTACCTCTGATTCTGAAATCAATCATTCTAAAACATGTAATGGCAGCACATCTCCAAAAAGCCCTCTGTTTTCTGTGCACAAGAAGTCAAAGAGAGGGCTAGAAGATGTTTCCCATCCTGCACATGAACCACAACCCAGCCCTGTGAGGTCAAAGAGGATACCCTCATCACACTCAAGTCCTCAGTTTGATGTGCAGGAAAACTCAAAGGAGCCAGATGATCTATCCCACCCTGACCCCTCAGTGGAAATTCATACTGCTAGATGTTCCCCACCACCATCATCAAAATCTCCAAAGAAAAACCAAGGCAAAGGCAAGGCCACAGGTAGCAAACCATGTCCCACTGCCACGACCAAGGGGGCTGGTACCCGCAAGAGAAGGCAAAATAAACTCGCATGGAGCCAGTATTCCTCCATTTTCTCCCCGAAGGAGCCAGAGATCAAGTTGAAGTACGTCAACTACAAGGAGAAAAGGGACTATAGATTGGACAGTTTCTCTCCATTCATCCGTGTGGAGCGTCAGCAGTCAGCGTCATCACTCTGTACTATAATCAACTACCCCGAGGAGGTAAGGACACAACACAAGAGAGGCCAGCAGCAGGCTCACCCCTGTGGCTTCATTTCTGCGGTCGTACCCAGCACTTCCTGTGTGCAGCTGGGCCGGGCATCGATGCTCAGCCGGCAGCAGCGCGCTCTCGTCTGCTGCCTGTGTGGACAGGCGGCCAACGCCATGGACTTAGGGGACCTCCATGGCCCTTATTACCCAGAAGGATACCAGTCAAGCACCAAAAGACCAGCCAGCATGTCTGGCCTCAAAGAGGATGAAGACGACTACAGCGACACAGACTCTTCGTCCTGCAGTGTCATAGGCAGGGGGAGGAAGTGTGCCATTCCACCTGCATCACGGCCCCTCATGCCAGCAGCTCAGCTGAAGCAGAAGGGCCTGGAGAGCTACAGGTGGACAGCTAACAACACTGGCAGCCCTGCTGCTAAGCTGGCTCGGTCAGACGGCGACTCTGCTGATGTGGAGGACTGGTACAGTCCCCCTGTGCTGCCTCTGGAGCCCTGTGAATACTGGCTCCACGAAGACTGCGGCATCTGGTCTGCAGGCGTGTTCCTGGTGAAGGGCAAAGTCTACGGATTGGAGGAGGCTGTCAAGGTGGCCCAGGAGACGGTAAGCACTTTGTGTGTGTGTGTGTGTGTGTGTGTGTGTGTGTGTGTGAGAACAATGTACAAGTATATTCACACACAAGGTTAGTAGAAATATTAACATTAAAGCTGCAAGCAGCATTGATCGGGTTCTCTCAACTTCACGCACGTCGAGGGTACTGAAAGGACTCAGGGTGACGTGGCCATGCATTTCTGTGACCATCATACACTGCGTGCACGAGTTAGATGATATTTCCTGCGTCGACCAGCAGCGTAGCAAGATCATGTTGCCAGGTGTTAAGCCTCAAATGTTTTGAGTGTACCTCCGATACAATCATAAATGTAAGCCTGTTAAGATAATTAAGAAAATGAATGTGTGTGAATGTACTTCAGTGTTTGTAACATAACAGACTGTCAGTTTACTGGGATGGGGTTCAACTCCCTGCAGTGTCCTGCTGATTGTATTTGGACTTACATGAAAGTTAACAGAACAGTAGTGTCATTTGCTTTTACTTGAACACTTTAATTTAACACCGTTTTCATTTTAAGCTCTTCTGTAACTTTAGATTGTAGTGTAAAGCATTCATTGTAACATTTAACCTGATTCTCATGTAGAAGCTCTGGACAGATCATTTATACTAATGCACACTGACATGGTTTGAGAACCACTTTTGCTCTCCAAGCATCTTAGATTGCACATATTTAGATCAGAGAAGTCTTTTCTCATGGTGTGCCCACAAACCCTTTTAATAAGTTCAGTGTTTGGGCCGCTGTAATTATAGAATCCTGCTTACGTCCGTGCTTATCAGTAGGTGGCGCTATGACTATGAGTTAATATTTGCATGCAGAAGTCCTAAAATCATGACAGTAATCAAGCATGTCAAGTTTGGGACAGTTTTGACAAAGTACAGTTGAGTTACAACAGCTTGATGGATGATGGCGAACCATGTAAAATGGCCGCCACACCAAGTCCATGTTGTTCAATGAAACCTCAAGCGTTTAGTAACTTTTAATGGCTAAGGTCTTTCGATTGTTCTGACCAAATTCTAAGCTGATCGGATTAATTCCCTAGGAGGAGTTCGTAGTACAGCACCTGGAAATGGAAAAAAACCACGAGAAATTCATACACAATTCAAAATGGCTGACTTCCGGTTGGGTTTAGAGCATGGACCCCTAAGACTTTTTTTTTAAGTCTACATGTGATAAATCTGCTTACCAAATTTCATACATCTAGGTGAAACATACTGCGAGGGCTGTATCGTCGAAATATTGTAGCTATCGAGCCGACTTGCCACTCTGAAGCATTTAAATCACATCAGATAACTACATTCATTAGTAGTAAATGTGTGTGACAAGTTTGATTAATTTTAGCCCCTCAAAAACACCTTCGTTTTTTCATGGCGAAGAATGCGTTGCAACGTAATACTAATAATTCTTTGGATTTCAATAGGGATTTCACCCTATTCGTCGGTGCTCGGGCCCTAATAATAAACATTAGAATAACAATGCTCGGTGCTCGGGCCCTACAAATATGTCATATGATCTCACGGTAGAGGGGTGCCTAAAAAAATAGAGAGGGAAAAAACCCATTCATACACCATAGGCACAGCTACGGGAGCAATTTAGGGTTAAGTGTCTTGCCCAAGGGGACATGGACTAGATCGAACCGCCGATCCTCTGATTGAAGGACCACCCCCTCTACTGCTGAGTCAGTGTTTGTACAGTATGACACATTTTGCATCGCCGTGGCCTTTGCCAAAGCTTTAAAAGTGATATCGCATTGTCTGTCTAGTAGCAGACACATACATCATGTCTTCCTTCGCTCCTTTCTCTGCTGTGTTTAGAAGTGCTCAGTGTGCAGTGACCATGGTGCTACACTGGGCTGCTTCATCAAAGGCTGCGCCAACAAGTACCACTACAGGTGTGCTCTGGAGTCAGGTAAGTGCTGCTCTCGGCCCTCCATCCCCACACATCACACAGGATGTCACTTATCCGTGTGAATGTTTACAGGGGCAGCGTGCTATTTTGAACTGGTTTGTCTTTAATGTTAAAGGGTTAGTTCACCCAATTAATTTTGATGGGCATCTAGCCATGCAATTGTGTCTGGTTTTATTTGCCCAGGTTTAGATTCTGATATCTCAACATTGTATCTGTGAAAATGTTATACACCCACGACAGCGTCGGAAATACACGAGGGCAAAGGGCAATACTGCCCCTCAGAAATATTATTTTGCCCCTGATATCTCTCGGAGAGGGGCAAAAAAATGCCCCCGAACTTTCTAAACGAATTAAAAAATGGAGCGCTTCAGTGTCAGACCTGTGACTGCGAGACTGCGGTCAACTCAGCAGACACTTAAATTTTAGTGCACCTATATCCTGAAATTCACGGTAAACTCATTCAAACAGCGCAGATCGGGAGCGAGCGAAGGACTTTGAAAGTTAACGGAAAGATTAACGTGAGACAACATCCGGTTTCTTCAGACCAACATCCGGTTTTCAGAATAAGATGCCAACAAAGTATACATATTGCATAATGGAAATTAGATTAAATGAATTATATTCACATTAAGTATAAAACATGCTACCTGCATCTCGTGAGTTAAAGGTAAAATACACCTAAATTGTGCATAAAGTGTCTTTATTCTTTGATTTGAGGGTTGCTGGAAATGAATAATACCTGACTGACAGTCAATTAAGATATTTTACTAAGTAAAAAGTCTGAACTGAATTTGTACCTTCAAATGGCACATTTATTACATTTTTAAGGTGCTATAAAAATGTTTTTCTCAAAAATTCCACACAATGACTAATGCGTAAGTTCAGGACAAAAATGGGTAATATCACAATATTTGAGGTGCTACAAAAATATTTTTTCTCAATAATTCCATACAATGACTGATGTATATGTAATCAAGGCATCGTTGACTTAATAATAGTTAATAGTTGTTTAAAATATTATAAATTTAATAACAATAAATAACCACAAAGAAATAAGAATAAAATTGAATATGATTGTCTGATTTACGTTTGTTCTAAGAAAACACTTTGAATTTGTAGACTACTGCTAATAGTCTTATTATTGCCATTTGATGACAATCGCTCATATACTGTAAGCCTAAATAAGTATTTTGAACAAAGGTTAAATGTTATTTCACAAGTTTCAAAAAGTGCCCCCAATTTTTTGAAAATGCCCCTGGATTTCAGTCAGTGGGGGCAAAAGTTGCCCCCCAAAAAATATGTAAATTTCCTACCCTGACCCACGACCAGTGCTTTGTGTGAGTTCATGTGAATTGGTCTGTGAATGCTCTTATTGTGAAGTGTGGCTGGCTATCACTTCCACTAAGCTCGAACCTGCACATGTGGGATGATTCAGTGTGGCATCTTTAACTCCTGTTCTGTTCTTGTTCTAGCAGACTGTGTACTCATAGAAGAAAATTTTTCCATGAGGTGTAAAAAGCACAAGGTGAGCACAAATATTATAAAATGTAGGTAATGGGTGTGGTTCTGTTTGAAAGATATAATGAATTATTAGCTACATATAGAGTGATTCTTCATCCATCCCCAGAACAAGACATTCAAAGCCCCTCCAGGGAACCGATGGGAGGACAGGTGACAAAGTAGAAACCTCATGAGGTTAGTAACCACCTGCTGCGCTTTGGTGTGATCTGCGGCTCTGGAGGAAGTTATTTTGGGGTTTTGGGAGTCCAATGAAGATTCGTTATTGAAAGTGTAGGAGGTGTTTGGAGCTCTACTAGGGACTAAAAGTCTGGATTTCCCAGCCTCTACTGTATCAATGTTGTTTTATCTTGCAAGTTCTCCAATTTTATGGGCATGCAATACTAACTTGCTATAGGCCTTTTTCCACAGCATCCATTTTGACATGTCATAGCAGGGTCAACACAGGTGTAATTGATAAAAGTTTTTGTGGTCTCATTCTATTTAGTGTGTCACAGCATGCACAATAACAGGGCCAGAATTGATGGTATTAAAGGTGCTAAATTTGATATTCAGAGCATTAATTTAGCAGCAAACAACTATTATGTGTGTATGTAAAGCTATAGAGGAGTAATGTCTACCTGAGCAGAGAGTGAAGTCTCTCTCCATCTGTGTGTTGATATCAGAGCTTCTCCTTGATTTGTTGCCATAGCCGGGCCGGCCACGCATGCTTTCAGTGCATATTAGTGCATGTGAGCGTGCCCCACTGGTTAGCGAACAACCGCCACTCTGCACTGCTCTCATACAGCGCTTACAGCTGATAACTGTCATCGTTGAAGTGTAGCAACCCACCCCTCTGGTTCCCCCTCAGGTAAACACTGCTAGCGGTCGGGCGGCAACCTCCAGTTCTGCCGAGTGAAGCCAGTGATCTTAAAACTTTCATTCTGTCTCGAGGCCAGCAGGCTCCAAAAGAAAAAAACATTTATTACCTCAGTAAACATTGTAAACATGAGTTTATGATCTCTAGTTTCAAGTCTTCTTCAATACAGCATGATGTTCATTTAGTAATGATGGTCCATTTAGAGTCAAATAAACCATAAAGCAGGGTATGCTTTAAGGCGGGCTTCCTGTGATCGACAGGTCATATAAGTCACTCCTCCGCATTCCAAATATGGTAACCTCTGTTCATTGGTTGCGGAAAAAACATGGCAACGGCCGTGATCCAAGATGGCGACAGCAGTCCACTAACCAATGGGTTAGTGGACCCGTTGGTTAGTGGTACATCCCAAGTCTCTTAATTGCATCCCCGTTTCCCTCACTTGCGTCCTTTCCTTGTGTCTTAGTCCCTCCCACCAGGGATGCATGGAGATATCCAAGGACACCATGCAAGGAGAGAGGAAACGAGGAAATGTTTTTTAAGAGATATGAGATGTCCTTTCCTCAGTTGCGTCACGTGAAGAGACGTCTGTTTCTGATGACGGCGGCTCTGATCACAGTCTGCTGTCAGTCCGGCTTTAACAGCTGGAGAGACTTTTGATCTGTGTTTTTGGTCTGTGCACATGATCACTGTACTTAATGTCACTGTAAGATCACTGTAAGTAATAATACTAATAACGACACAGTAATCATCACTGTAGAGGTGTTTTCTCTCTGTAGTCTGTTACCACTTTAACAAACTCCTGTTTATAAGCGCAGGATCGATTTCTACCGACGGAATGTGTTTGTCATATTTATGAATTATTGGCGTCTGTACGTTTTGAAACTCAGATTGTGACGTGATTATTAAATAACCCAGAATATGATTATGGTTTCTCTTAAATTATATAACTCATCAAACCAGACACTCAGGAATGATCAGCCTCACATGACTGAATGAAATGATGATTAATTATGTAAAAAGTGTTTCGTCTCTCCAGCTCTCTCTGACTTTAATTGTATCCATAATAAAAGTTATTGAGGGAAATATCAGATCAAGAAAAAACAAATCTTTCTAATAAATGAAGGAAGTTGTTTGTGGTCCTTTTGTTGTTCAGACTACAATGAACATTTATTTAAACCAGATGTTGAATCAGAAAACTAATCAAATATAAAACTAGAGTTTAATCTGTGATCTGTCTTCACTGTTTACATGTTGAAAAAAATAGTATCAGTCCGATCAGCTGCAGCGTCCAGTCACATAACTGATGAACAATGGCGTGTCGGCTGTTAAAACACTTCCTGGAAGGCTGTTCTCGTGCGTCCTCGCTCATGGCTCCTCGGAGATCCCTCCTCGATCATCGCTCCTCCGAGCTAAATAAGAACTTTGCGATATGGCGTCAATATGGCGGAGCAGAACAACTTCCGGTTCAAGCGAGGAAATGACAATTAAGAGACTTGAGATGTACCCCATGACTATGTCCACTTCTTATAGACAGTCTGTGGTCATAACAGCTGTGTTGCTTCGGACCCAAGGAAGCACAGTGTTGAGTGTGAAGTTGTTCTCGAGAATCAAAGGCCAAGTATTAAGCCCGTTCTGAACAGGTAGGGTTTGAATGGGCACTTCACTAGATAATGTCAAGGTGATGTAGTCATGGCAACAGATTCTCACACCGATGCATCACATACGGCAGCTTGGTCCCTAACCCTCAAACTATGACACTCTACGTACCCGTAAAATGCATGCGTTTTACATGCATTTTCTTTTCAAAATAAACTTGTCTTCATAGGAAGTCAAAGGTCAATGTGACCTCGCAAAACACGTTTTTATCCATTTCACTGATGGGATAAAATGATGTGATAACATTTTAGACAGACATAGATGGAGGCAGTAATATTAGTCAGTATTCCAGTGAAGGCAGCGATTATTCTCCAGAACAAACAGAAATCTGTTCAGTTGAGTTAATCACTTTGAAATATGTTTTTGTTTTTATTCATCCAGACATTCACATTCAACATCCGGCAGGGGCTCTCCTTCCCCGTTTGCTGGTATCCATGGCAACTGTGGACCAGGGTTCCTCTGACTGACAGCTAGCACTCGTAAACCTTAACTTCACCCTCTGCTCTTCACCTGCACTGTTAGCCCTGTGGCTGGAGGCGCCCAGTCACCAAACCTCACTCAGTCCAGTCTGACGCAACTCAAGACGCCAATAACCTCCGCAGACTGGGACCTGAAGTCATGTGCTGAATTCCTCATTTGTGTTTTCACTCTGTAGTTATTTATATGGAATTTTTGTTCCTGGATTAAATATGAATAACAATCAAAGATATTTAATTAAAAAAAAAAAAAGATTTTGTAAGTATTTGATTATATTTGGTTTATTTATTCCTGGAGTTGTCTTATTAGTTGTTATTGGTTATAAGTTATTGGTAAAGCAGTTGAAAGTTAAAATATCAAGCCAGTCAAGATGTTGCTGGTTGGTGGAGCTATGACACTCACTGAACAAGGCACCTGATTGGACGCTGTCAACACAACAGGGTTTCACAGTAAAATGTTGCCTGAAATACAGCCGGACACTCATTGACATTCAATGTTTGGCCCAGTTGATGTTATCGAGGGGACTGAACCTTGGGTCTCCCCATGTGAGTTTTGTTGCAGAAAGCACTTTAGAGTGACACAAACATGTTGTGTGTTGTGTCTCTCCCCCCCCCCCCCCACCCCCCCCCTCCTCTTTGAGGTTCACAGGTTATCCAACCATCAGGATGAGAGCTTGTGAATTTAAGTGTGCTGTGTGTTTGTCTGCACGACCCATAAATCAGTTGGTACCTTCATGGAATTTCAAGAGGATTTATAGAGAGGGGATCATAAATTAAAGCAGGCTTAGTTTTTTCCCTAGAAGTAAAGGGATTCCTTTCAATTCAATGCTTTTCACTTGGATTTCTCACAACTGCAAAAAAATCTTACTGTTCAGTTTCATTTTGAGTTTTGCAACACATTACTTTCAAATTAAATGAAAGGACCACTCCGCTTGTCACTGAAGTTTAAGAAGGATATGTGTTTTCAGATTTCTGTGCTGACATTGAGAATCTTTGGTTTACTTCTATCTTAATTTCAGTAGGAATGGCCATGCTGGTATAAAGACCCCTGATTGTCTACTGGGATTTCTTCTCTTGACTTGGGCCTAAATGGTAAAGTTACACCAGAACCTTTCTGAAAAAGCCTTTTCTGTTAAATACAGTTAGTTTTCACTAGCCTGTGGTGTAACGACAAATCAGTGGATGTGCATCACCTTTCTTTGGACATCTTGATGACTGAAGCATCTTGAATGCACTTTTCTGCTGTAGGCTATGTTGTTGTTATACTCGGGGCAATGAACTTTCGACCACACGGGTACACACTTGTGTTAACCATGTACTGATATTTGTATTAGTACTTGTGTTCATCAGGTGCTGGTGTCAGCCTGCCTTTGTTTTAGAGAGAAGTCTCTGTGTACTTTCTCCACTGGGGGCAGAGTTGTGATGGTTGAGGCCAGTGAGGCCCATCCAGCACATGGTAACAAATCCTCACACACACACACAATGTCCTTATCATGGAACAGCACATCTATTTCATTTGTGCCATCCATTTGTTTTGTGTATTTTATATTTTGGTGCAGTGAAATTTTCACTGCAATTGTTTTAAATTACAGGCAGTTCACATTGTACCAAAAACTGATTTTGGAGTGTTTTATTATAAAAATGTTTGGATAAAAAAAAAAAGGTGTGGTAATCTCAGGGCTGGATCTCAGATATTCTAATTTGAATAGTGTTTTGTGAGCTCGTTGTGTTAACCCCCACATTGACTGGAGCAATGCTACATGTATCAGGATGCACAGCTCATCACATTCCAACCCCTCGGTGTGTCTGTCAGTGCTGTGGTGACTTTAGGTTTAACATGGGACTAGAACTGCCAACTCATGTCACTTTTTCATGGTCTTTATTTTATGGCATCTTTTTGTACCGTCTTGCTCACCTCTTGAAGCATCAGAGGTCATGTCATTGTCAAAAATAAATATTTTGTTCAAAGTTGTGGTTTTCTGTAATAGATTTGTGTTTTGGTGCAACCAAGACGAGGTTTATTATCCATGTTTCTTTTCACAGACTTTGTCTGAGAAACATCTTGAGAATGAATCAGATAGCTGCTGCTGCTGCTATCACTGGCTTCTTCAATTAGATGCCAAGTAATAATCCAAGCTCACAAGGGCGAGGTAGTGAGCTGAAGTTAGCTCTGTCTGTGCAGTGACTCAGGCCTGTGACGTCGTTGTGGTTCTGTCTAACGAGAGCTAGCAGGCGTCGGTCGAACAGGCTGGGGCCGTGTGATTGGCGGGGCTTGGTGACGCCAATTAAAAATGCTGTTATGAAAAAAAATACATCAAAAGAACATTTCTACAAACTTCTAGTATAAAGTATTCATATGTGTAACATGACTCAAAGTCTTATTTATTTAATCATCTTTTAAACATTTAATAAATTAATATTGAATCTGGCTTTCTTTACTTTTTGTCTTACAAAATTGAAAGACGAGAAATAAAGATACAATATTAAATATCCAGTTTCTGTATGGATCTGATGTGAACATGCCACCACAAATTCAATATATTGTAATACTGTATCTCCTGGGATACTACAAACTTAAACACTGTACTGTACATATGAACTATTAACTCCATCTACAGTATGTCCTAATGCGTCACAGAAGACTGGAGAAACAACATTATCAAAGATCACTGCAACAAGAATTCTCATTTTAATGACTAAATCTCAGTTTACAGGAAGACTGTTGTATTGCAAAGACAAAACCGGATACGAGTTCTAGTGCTGTGGTCATCTAATCACTAAAACGCCACCAAAAACAGGATGCTTTGAAATGAGTCACTGTACAGAAAGACACTGGAACTCCGTTACAACACATTACGTTATGGATGAGGTGAGGAGGTAGCAGCGACCGATGGAAGAAAACAGCTGTTTTAACAGCAGACACTGTATGTATGTTTCCAAGACAAATTTCCTTCGGGACAATGAAGTCTATCTTATCTTAAAAGGGAAAGGGACTCCATATTAACATGAAAAAGTTGGTTGGCTAATTTAGCAATTTGCAGGAAAGGTCCCACAAAAGAACAAAAACCAAAGGATGATCAGAATGGTGATGGCCAATGGGAAGATCAGGCTTTAGTCTCTATTCTGCCCAGTAGGGCTGCAGCTTTTTAACTCTTACCATTTGAGCACCATAAAATAAATACTATTCAATAAGGATGAATAAGAATGAATTAACTGAATTCAAAATGATCTGTGTAAAAGCGTAAAAAGGCAGAAATACACTCACTGATCTATTTGCCTGCCCTGTTTCCTTATCAGTAAACTACACAGTTGTTATCTACACTCATGAAAAATGGAGGAAACCAGGAGCTGTGCTCAACAGATCACAGAACCATGACAGCAAACCAATGAGAGAAGTCATTTGTGGAAAGATTTTGGATATGACACCATAGATGGAAAAATCTTAGATAGAGGTAAAGTTGTTTACTGCAGAAACAGTGAACAGAATGTGTGCATGTTTTGTGATTATACTACGTGGATTGTGTTCCATATCATTTAAACAAATTACATGTTGATTCTCTTTTTTTTTTTTTTTCAAAAGGTGGCAGCCCTAGAGGCCATCACTGTCCTCTCCTTGTCTGAGTAACAGCCAGATTTACAGAATGTTTCACCTTTAAGGAGACTAAATAGTTAAGATAGACATTTGATTCACTGAGGATACATCTGGGAAGGGCTAAGGAGAAGTAAGAGGGCGGTTTTAGGGGGAAACCAAGAGTGCCATGATGAGGTAATGTACAGCCCTGTGGCCTCTCTTCATACAGTCATGTGATGTGCTGGAGATTTCACAGTAAATACTGCAGAGCCACTGCTGCTTGGGGAGCAACCGGCTCCAGTGTCTGTATCAGGACCGTCCTTTGTTCTGAGTCAGAAGGCTTCCAATGAGGTCAGAGATTGTCACAAGATGTAGTCATTTGCATACTCGCTCGATGATCGGGAGCAGCTTTGATGAACATGATCCAGAGGGATTCTGTACGTGTTGAACGGAGTTTAGCTAATCCTCAGTCAGGCAGCTGAAGCTGCTGACTCTCACAAGATGAAGGAACATGTTATTTGAAGTTATTTCTCTACAGCTTGTGACAGGAGAAACACTGAGCAGGTTTTCACAACAGAGCTTTAGCACATACAAGTTCATGCGGGTTCATGTCTGGAAAGCAACATACAAAATGCCCATTCCTATACATTTTTTTCTTCAAACTGATTCGATAATATCAAGTCAAAGAAAGGAATGGATTGTTTTTTTTCTGTTCATTTGAACTTGATAGATAAAATTTAGAAGCAAAAATGACATGAACTAATTCCCTACCTGTGGTTTAAATTCAAGCCTCTCACTCTGTGTCTTCATGCTTTGCTTCTTTTCTGTTCCTGGAGGTGGTGAAATGAGTACACAGCATTATTAGCAATACAAATACAACACACTATTCGAAACTAACTAACTAATGTTTTAGCCCTAGGATGTCTCAAAAGATCATATTATGGCAATATTCACTCAGGGACAACGTCATGTTGCTACGGCAAAAAGTCCACATCAATACACTTGACTTTTCTTTTTATCCTTTTTCCTCAGTATTGTTTTGTAAAGCATGTTCAAATTATTTGTAAAGACAATTTTAGCGACTCATGCAATTTATAAAAGGTGACTCTTTCAAATCTTCTGTGATTTTTCTTCTTCTTCAGATTGGACTAAAAGGCTGAGTGATTTTTTTCTCTTTTGTTTTCAGACAATACATTTTGCTAAAAGTTTTGAAGAAAACATAAGCAATACAAACTGAATTTTTTAAGAAAACTTTTCAAAGAAATCAAGCTGTACAAACTGAATTTGGAGAGTAGAAAATCGTCTTCCATCTATGAAGTGTTCATGTTTGACATGAAGAACAGAGACATCATAAGCCTTGTCTCAGCTCATGGACACACTGGTATACTGACTATACACAGTGGTCTAATATTCCTTCTGAAAACCTTTGGTCAAACCTCATACATGATATACAACTGTTCATACAGCCATGGATTTGGCACAGCTATGCCAGAACACCAAAACACAATGTGCAGTCCAAGGATAACAAAGAAAGCTGCTGTACGAGAAACAACAGAAAGAATAGTGTGTAGTCTATTTTTGATTCAAATAAATAATAAAACTCTCAAAGGAAAATAAATCCACCTCTTTTGGACTCAAACACACAGAACACTAATACAAACAAACACACTCACACTTTCACATTTTTGTTAAACATGAAACATTTAAAACCACCGTTTGCTCGTTTGTGTCTTACAAGTTGTCTTCTTGAGCTCTGTTTTAGTCTTTTTCAAAAATACAAATCCTTTGTCTTCACTCAGAAATGACACCTGGTCACAGAGAAGAAATCACACAACACTCTGCCACTTGTGTGCCTCTATTTGCTTTTTTGCTGGAAGTATTGCTTTAAGAAATACAATTTGTTCTTTCGGATAGTTTTAGTGACAGAATCTCTAATGGAAGCAATTTTTTACTTTTCCTCTGGGTTTCATGAAGCTGCATTTGCACATCCCTCAAATCAAAGTGTAAATGGGGCTCCTCACTTTGACCAAAAATCCTACTTCATGAGGAATGTATTGTACAAATATTTTCTGTTATGTGTACCGTGTTTGCTCTTTCTCCCCAAAGACGTTTGGAGCAGGATACGCGTTAGTACTCATTGTCTGTTTTTGTTTATTTTTCCATGCATACACATCTACGTGGTTAGATGAGAGGTATAAAGTGTGTACCAGTCCGTGACGACGTTAACGATCTGACCAACTCAGACGCAGATTTCAATGGGCGTGGCCACCAGCATGCTGCCACCTGGTGAACTGTTCTCTCGCGGCATTCGATCGTAACTGTTGGTGGACGACACGGAGCTGTTGGTGGAGACGGACACAAAATGGTGGCCGCTGCCTGGTTCCATCATCCCGCCCTTAGCCCCACCCCCACCCCTGCTTCCCCTCTCCACGGCCACAGGAGACATAGGAGAGAGAGGAGATAAAGTCTGTTGCTTCATCCTCTCCACAAGAAGCTCCTCGTCTTCCTCCCCGGATGAAGATGACGAGATAGTTCCGTCCACCTCTCCCCGCACCCCTCCTCCTCCACTGCCAACCCTCTCTCCACCACCTCCGCTGTTGCCGTTGTTGTTGTTGTTCTCTGCGTCCAGCATCCAGGAGTGGCTGAAGTAACCGAAGACCTCTTTTACGGAGCAGCGGCGGTCCTGTTCCACAGAGAGCAGCCGGCGGAACATGCGGAGGGCCTGCTCAGTGAAGCGCCTCCACTGGGACGGCACCGTGTTCGTCCTCCTCCTCTGCCAGCGAATGAACTCCTGGTAGAAGGAGTCGGAGGGCAGCGCCTTCTCCCAGGGGAAGTTGCCGGTCAGCATGCAGAAGAGCAGCACACCGAAAGCCCAGACGTCAGTGCTGTAGTCCACGCAGAATCCCTCGTGGCGGGACACGTCGCAGAGCTCTGGGGCCGTGTAGGGGATGGTGCCACTCACCTGCAGGGGAAACTCTTTAGGTCAACATTGCGATCCAAACCACACAGAGTTTAGACGTCATAGACAGAAACGTTACTCACTCTTTTCACAGGTGAGCCAGCTCGGCGGGTCATGCCGAAATCTGACAGCTTGACCTTGCGGCACTCTCGGTCAAAAATAAGGATGTTTTCAGGCTTGATGTCCCTGTGGACCAGCTTCTTACAGTGCAGGTAGTCCAGAGCAATGGCTACTTGGTGCACACAGCGCTTTGCCACCGCCTCAGGAAGACCGACCTGAAGGGACGGATAGAGTGAGATCCGAGTTAACACACAGACGGCATATTTACCAATACAACATGCATCACTGTGCTGAATGTAAATTAACACTCAAATTGCTGAAATAGTATTTTAAGTCCTGGACCCAAAAGCAATGATGCAAAGAAGTAACGACCAGAATAAAGTAGGATGGAGCAGCACCTGTGGAGGAATTATATCGAAGAGGTCCCCTGCCAGAGCATACTCCTGTGCAAACACATAGTAGTCGTCTGTCTCGAAGGCGATGCCGAACATGTTGATGATGAAAGGACAGGGCGACAGGTAGAGTGAGATGCTGTACTCTCGCAGGAACGACTTGAGCTTGGTTGTCTTCTTCTTCAGGAACTTCAGTGCCATTTTTGTACCTTATGGGCAAAAAGGAAGAAAAATAACCTCATAGACATTTGTGTTTTTTATTTTTTACTATTTAGAGCGGCAGGATATTGCTTGTGTGTATGTGTGTGTACGTGTCTCCTCACCTCGGATCTTGTGGATGACCAAGTCCACCTTGCCATAGGTGCCCTTGCCCAGCTCCCTGATCACCTCGTAGTACTTGTTGACCTCCAGCCTCTCCAGGTTCTGCGCTGCGATTAGTTGCAGCTCGTCCAGGATGTCCATGTTGGCTCGAGACACCAGTGGAGAGGAACTCATGTTAGGGACTGTTTTAGGGGAGGGACCGGAAGAAAAAGCTTGGGAACGGACGCTCATGTGGGACAAGAACAGCAGCAGCTAACAGCAGTGTCACTGTACACAAATGAGAAAGGAAACACATTTTTAAATTGGTTTATAAAAGGTTATTTTTATTCTTATCCTTATTTCTATTCTTATTATTTTTATAATTAGTAATAGTATTATTGTTGCATTAGAATTGCAGTGGATTAGAATAATTTTCCAATAAATGACAGATTAATATATATCTTCATGTAATTTATATGCAATAAACCTACAATGACATAAAACATAAGAACCATATTATAATAACACAATATAATTATAAATAATCATAATTATTAGCAATTGCTGTATTCCTCACAAAGGTTAAAAAATCTAAAAGATATATAAAATGCTACTAAATTAATAAATACAATTAAATGTATAGGTTTGATGTACATGTATTATATTTAAAACAGCTTTCATGTTCATTATGTGGAAAACCATTTTACAAGTGAAACTTTCTTGTGGTTTTCCAACATTTAACATGTAAAATTACTATATTATATCCGATAAATCCGATAAATTCACATTGAGGTTGTGGTTTTCCAAACATTTTGCGTGTGAAATAAAAAAATACATAAATCATTAATATATATTTTTGAAATGAAAACAGGTGATGAGATTACAGGTGTGTTTGTCACATTCACTGTCACTGTGTCCAGGTGTGTGGAGGGCAGTTTGTGAGGGATGGACACATGGAAACACACAACTTACACACTAGCTGTTTTGGGATGTAAACAAGTGTGTTTGAGATGCTGCTGTTGGTCAACGATGGACAACAAGCCTTCCATGTTGCAGCTCACAGTCACAGAGCTCACAGAGCTCACAGTCACAGAGCTCACAGTCACAGGGCTCACAGTCACAGAGATTACAGAGCTCACAGTCAGCTCACTCAGCTCACAGAGCTCACAGTCACAGAGCTCACAGTCACAGGGCTCACAGAGCTGACAGTCACAGAGCTCAGTCACAGGGCTCACAGAGCTCACAGTCACAGAGCTCACAGTCACAGTGCTTACAGAGCTCACAGTCGGCTCACATAGCTCACAGTCACAGAGCTCACAGAGCTTACAGAGCTCACAGTCAGCTCACATAGCTCACAGTCACAGAGCTCACAGTCACAGAGCTTCAGAGCTCAGTCACAGAGCTCACAGTCACAGAGCTTACAGAGCTTACAGAGCTCACAGAGCTCACAGTCACACAGCTCACAGTCACAGAGCTCACAGTCACACAGCTCACAGTCACACAGCTCAGTCACACAGCTCACAGAGCTCACAGTCACAGAGCTCAGTCGCTGGAAAATACTAATTATCTGCAGTAGAAGTAATTCTAAATGCTACTCGCCAAGTGCAATGCCAGAGCTAAGCTGTGAGCTGAGTCTCTCTCACACACACACACACACACACACACACACACACACACACACACACACACACACACACACACACACACACACACAGTCCTTTCTAGCGAATCCAGTCCTTGCTGCAGTGATTATTCTTAGTGATTGCTTTCTCTTTTTCTTCCTGCCATCACTGTATAGCAGCCTCTCTCCATCCCTGACTCTTGTGAATCTGCCCTCCCAACATTCTCAGGAAAACCAGCTGTACTTGGACTGCTGTCATATTTAAAGCATCTTCTTTATCATCAACATTACCAATCTATACACAAATTACGTTTATCTGATATTCTTCCCAAATCCTTCAACAAGTGCCATCTCTTTTCACTGTCTAGTTTTGAGATGCAGAAAATAATTCTTATATGTGCTGAGCAGCTGTCATAACCTGCTTCATCACGTTAAGTCAACATGTGACTATATACACGCACACGCACGCGCAAAATAGCTTGGCCTCCCCTCCACAGGCCTCTGTGTCCGTCTGTGTGAGTGTGATATTTGTTGTGTGAAGCGCCAGGAAGAGTAGTTGACATCAGCAGGTGAGGAGGGATGAGTCAGTTCGGGTGATAAATGGCAGCGCAGAGAGGATGTACTGTACCTCTCTCTCTCTCGGACACACGCGCTAAACACACATACATGCACAGGAGGGGGGCGGGGGCTGTAAACAGAGAAGGCCATTTGTTTCTGTCCAGGATCAGGAGTGCTTACGGTGACACTGCAGGATAAATGCAGCATGTGTGACTGTGTGTGTGTGTGTGTGTGTTGGTCCTGCAGAGGAAAACCGTTAAATGACCATCCTGAGCATCTTCTTGGACTTCATGAACATGTTTGTTGTGAACTATCTAGTAGCTTTCATGTTAGTCCTGTCACAAGAATTGTATTGCCGAGTTTCATTTTTCTGATGCCCTGCGCAGACGACAAATATCCTGTGATCTCTCTCTTAGTCAGCATGTTTAGGTGCACACACATCACATTACTGTATCCTGTGGACTGTTAAAAGCCATGAGCCAGATTTATGCTTCGGGTTACACTGTAGCAACCGCTACGAGTTTCTAGTGCTGCCGGGGATTATTAACAATACAGCAAGTGGAGGAAAAAAACAACATCTCTCTGCTTGCTGTGACTGTTGCTCCCTATCATAGAGGGAATGACACGTGATTACTTTGGCTATTAATGATTAGCCAAAGTCAGTAGCTATACATTGGACAAGGCAAACCACATGCACATCACAAAGTGATGTAAAACAAATAAACAAAACAAAACAAACTCAAATAGGAATGAATTCCTAAACCAGAGATGCACACTCAAACAGAGATCAAATTCTAGGACAAAGGTTCTTTTGACACAATCGTTTTACCACCGTTCCCGACTGTCTGTTATGGCCTGTGGACTGATCTATGCGAAGGACTCAGGGTGTGTGTGTGTGTGTAGAACAGACACTCCCAGCATACATCACACACTCTCTCCTTACCTGTCTTTCTGCTCTCAGCTCTGTTATCCAGTCAGAACATCTATGTGTCAGCCTGTTTACCACAAAGAAAGCTGCTTCTGTGTTTATATAGCGGCAGCATTGGACTCATAGCTGAATGAGTCATCAGGTCAGGACAAATGTCTCCATGTGGAGAGGAAGTCTGCCATCCCACTCTCTGTGTGTGTGTGTGCTGCGTCACATAGGCTCAGTGTTAACAATAGCAGTAACTCAATGCACAACTAGCTGTATTTCACATCCGCAGAGTCAGTCTGTGTTCAAGAAAAGGAAGGGTATGAAGTTAACCTATATGATTTTATTCATAACATGACATATTTCTGTCATGATTGTAGGTGCCGTTTTATTTTACAAACCTCACGTTGTATAACATTACCTTATAGCGTGGCTCCAAAACCAACAATTAATGGCTCATTTTAGGTCAAAACTCAAAGTCACAGTGGACACATGCACAGTCAGACAGACCGACACACAGAGACAGACACGCAGACACACAGAAGATGATAGAGACACTGCATCAACTGTATCTGAAAATTGTGTGTGTCAAGGAAAACCCTTGTTAATATGTCTGTTAGGCTGGCACGCAGCGGCCGGACTTCGGAAGCAGGAGGACAGACACAGAGAGTACGTGTAAACCAACCAGGTGTTTATTTCACCGACAACACAAGCAAATGCATGGCATAACTCTTTCAGGGACCACGGGCAGCATGTGGTCCTGGCAGCAGCAGCACTAGATGTAATTGTGGCAGCCTTATATAGTCTGCCACTAACGAGGACCTCCACATCACTGTAAGATAGGTGACTCTGCCCCTTACTCTACAACACAATCCCCTAATCTACAACAAGTACATTGAAATGGATGCCTAACATTCTAAGGTCAATTATCTATATGATCTCTATTGTAGTAAGACATCACCATAGAGATCATATCCGGTCCGAATAGAGGATAGAGGATTCAATTTTCCCCTCTAGTAATTACCACATGGTACCTTCCCGGAACTATAAAATGGTGCTCTTGTAGCCTGGGGACTCTTTTAGGACGAACACCCTGGAGAGGAGACACAGCAGAGGTAAGTGCTTTGAACATGCAGGTTATTTGACAGCACTATTAATATATTCAATCATTTTAGTTAAAGATAACTAAACCACATATGTTTGTCTACAGGCCCGACCTTCAATAATTACTCCTGAGACCATATCAGAACTGTACAATAAACATTCAACTCTGTGTGCGAGTCTCTTATTGTCTCGAACAGTCCACAAATGCCTGCAATGGAGAGGGTCCTTGTCACGATGTCATTAAACTAATGTTATCATACAGAGGTGGATGAAGTACTCAGTAAAAGTAGCAATACTACAGTGTAATGATACTCTGAATCTGTAACTTCAGTTATTTGAAAAATGTAGTGAAGTAAAAAAGTACACTATTTCCCAGTGAGTTATTTATGTTACTGCTTTAAAGCAGGATGTTTTTCTGACATTGGGCTGTATTCAGAAGCGCCTCCAACAAACAGTTTGTCAGTAATACGCAGTATGAAACTGTTAAATTGTTTTGCAGTGTAGCCTTTGCAAGAGCTCTTAAAGCACTGGACAAAAAACTAACACATACCAATATTATGGAAAACTGCAACTTATTGAGCTTTGTTTATGACCAATGTCTGTTTAAAATACTGCATGGTTTCCCTCACCACTGCCTGCTCTGTAGAACGGGATACACTGGAAGGCGCTTGTGGAGTTTGTTGAGATTTTCAAAAACGCAGATCCCAGTACATTATATGAGATCTGCGAGGATCGAGCTAGCGGCCCTGGTACGCGCTAACTGTTGGTGGAGACACTGACAACATTGGAGCCAATTTTTGATTCGCCATCAATTTTCATGAAACTGCCAACAATTTGAAATCTACGTAGTTGATTTCTCACTTCAAAAATTCTCAGAAGTGAATTTAGTGATGCAATAGCATACGGAAATTATAAAACACTTTTTGGCCACTGTAGTTGTGACCATAGTCTGTGCCGTTCCAGCGCTTTGCATTGTGGGATACATTAGGCAAGGTAGTGGTCTGATACATACTGGAGATTTTTTTCCAAATGAGTGACATCTGTTTTTGGTATACTGTAGATTTTGCTTTTGTTTTGCTATATTTGGGCTAAATCCGTACGTACGCCGTTTTGAATGCAGCCTTGGTGTTCCAAAATAATAGGCTTTCAGAACAATGTCCCCCTCTCAACATCCAGTAATGTACGACTAACACTTTCTTACCTCAACAACCAAATAAAGGAGAATACATGGCGTTAGTTCACCCACCAGCTGGGATTCGATGAAGATGGTAAAGTAGCTGATATGCACTTGCCAACGTTATGCTGGGGCTAGCCACAACTGCTAACATTTGCATTGCCATCAAATTTGGGGTCCGAATAGTGTTTTTGTTGTGTGGAGTGGACACAGAGAAAATGGAACACGGTAACAGCAACTTGCTCGGAACCTTTGTGCAGAGTAGATTTTCTGTATTTCTGCACTGCGATTTCACATCAAACTAGTGAGAAACTGCTTTTATTCTGTTTCTATTGTAAATTTTATATTTTCGGGCTTTGGACACAAGCATTTTGAAGACGTTAACGTGTGCTATGGTCAGTTGTGATTGGCATTTTTCACTATTATGGACATTCTATAGACTAAGCAAATATAACTGATCAATCCAAAAATCAATCAATAGATTAATTGATGACAAAAATAACTTGGTTACAAACCTTGACAAAAATGGTAATAGTAAATGGACTGTACTTTCTCTTCTCTAGTCTTCTGACCACTCAAAGCGCTTTTTTTTTTTTTTTGCATGTCATTATTCACTCATTCACATCCATTCATACACTGATGACAGGGGCTACCACGCCAGGTGCCACCTGCCCATCAGAACTCGAACTAATACCCATTCATAGTCCTGCGGGAGCAAGTTGGGGTTAAGTGTCTTGCCCAAGGACACATGGACTAGTGGATCCGGGGATCGAACCTCTGAAGAATGACCCTGCTCTCCACTGAACCACAGTCTAAAATACATGTTGCAATGATTTGCCGATTTATAATACTCCTTCTTTCCTTCTCCGGACTGCACCTGTACACTCCCACATGCCTTCAAATGCAACGTACTGGAAACACAAAATACACGATGTTCCTTTCAACACCCCCAGCTGAGTAGCACAGTACCAGCAGGTGTGTCTGTGTGTGCGTGGTGGCTTAGCCAACAGCTGACATAGCAACTCAAATCCCCGGTGTAGCAGATGACCATTTAGAGCTTAGTTTAAAGGTCAGAAAAACAATTATTCAGACTTCCTCCCTCTGTAACTGACCCCTGAACTCTGACCTTATTGTAATTACGAATCTTTTACAGCCTAAAATCACATTCAAACCCTGCTCATGAACAAGTTGTCAATCCCACATTCTGGCTTTAAGGGGGCCCTTTACAGGTGAATAATGTATTTTATGACCCCAGAAAATAACCCCTTAAAGTCACGATGTCATCAGGGTTATCTCATCTTGGACTTGGAAACAAGAGGTTTGTAACATAAAACCTGCATTACAAATTGGAGGATTGAGTCTGAAAGACATGAGTGTTTACCAGCCAGGGAGGGTCTATTGAAAGATCATATTATATAAGTCAAGAGTTTTTCTTAATCTTATTTGAATATTGCTCAAAACATCTGTATCGGCCGGCATTCACCCTGTTGACTGCCATCAGCCTCTTGGCAAATAACGAAAATAACGAAAAATGATGCAGTAAAACAAAGACTTACAAGATTTCTCAAGAACCATCACTGCGGTCTGGATGGGAATGAACCTCATGTGTAATGTGTCAGTCCAACGAGGGGATGTATGTTACAGTATGTTACAGTATGTCGGGAACATCGTCCTGCCACTAGTCCACTATTTAAGTGATGGCGGATGGTGTTGTTCTCTCGGACAAATAAATAGAATATTAATAAAATAAGATAAAATGGGTCGGCAAAAATAGGGCGGCTGTTAATGTGGCAGCCCACCCAAGTAATGTCTATGTCTCTAATCACTTTTACATTTAATTTGTGTTCAGGAGAATCATGTGATTGAGTGACTGTGTACCTCATTGTCTGTCCACAGTAAATCTCACATTCTGCTACAGCAAACTGCATAACATTTTGGGTACCCAGTTATGGCCGCATGCTGAAGGCTGCAGTGACTCACTCTTTCTCAAATCACCTTTTATTGGCTGTTTTATACTTCCATTGACTGCCTGCTGACTCCTCACTCACTGCTCTTAATCGACCCCTGGAAGGTAGGTGATAACACAGCTCAGTGCATCTCCAACCCCCGTCTGCTACTCTGCACCACAGACTGTATATAAGAAGTGGACGTAGTCATCTGGACGTGGTTTGTGGACTGCTGTTTTGTAGCCTCGAGTTCGGTGATTTTGCCTTCCCCATCTTGGATTACATCTGTCGCCATGTTGTTGTTTTTTGCAACCGATGAACAGAAGTTACCATATTTGGAATGTGGAGAAGTGACGTAGAGACGCTGTATATGGCTCTGGTAGCGGCAGCAACCTGTCAATCACAGTAAGCCCGCCCAAATATAACCTCTTCTAGGGTATTCACGCCGCATCCTTTGGACCGGAATTACAAGCAACTAAGTCTGAAAACACTCGCATCACTTTTACATTTCGATGGTGCACAGATTAATTAAACAAGATCCACAGTGTTCATTTGTAATATTTAGGTGTTAGTAGCTGAAGTTTTTAACTTTCATCACAGCCAGGCTGCTAAGCTAAGCTAATTGCCTTCTGGTGCTTCATGTTTAGCCTACAGATATGAGAGTGGTGTTGATCTTCTCATATAGCTCTCAGCCAGAAAGCGAACAAAGGTCACAAAATGTAGAGCTGCTCAATAATCCAATAGAAGGCATGTCTACACATTTTTGCCACCGAGCAAGCTCTAATAAAAAAGTACATAAGGAATGAATTGTTGCAGGTTTTCTTTTACATGTATGAAGAGTTTGGAGTCATGTAGTCTACCACATACAAGTGGAACAGTGCATCACTGCACCCACATTCAAATTCATTTGCTCATCAGCGCATATCCCAATTTCCTACAAGCTGAAGTTCCCACCGCTGCCAGTGAGATGCCCGCTGGCTATGTGACCTACATTGTGATCTCTGACTCATCATGCTGGAGTGTATCTTGCGTGTGTGCGTCTGCTTTTACGTGACATCAAGGAGTTTAAACCCACTTTTGATCAGCTGTGTCTCGGACTTCACAGACACACACACACACACACACACACACACACACACACACACACACACA